TCTTTTTTTGGGGGCGATCGTTTTTTATCGATCCTCGAAACCTGGTGGGCGGATTCTTGCCTCTTTCTCGAATGCAAATAGGTAAATGTGATTATTGATCGCCTTTCCCATGGCACTAACAATAATGGATACCTGGAGGAGAGAGCGAAGCGCTAGTGGGTTCGTTTCCATCGGTTGCGAGGTGCTCTCCCTAGGGTTATAGTCCATGTTCTAATTTATTCGCCTATCACCTGGATACATCCTCAGAATGGCATTGATTTCATTGCAAGTACCTAGGTTTTTATCCCTTAGGTTCTTCGTTGCACTAAATTGGTGATCCAGTTTTTGATCGATGCACTCGTAACAAATATTTTGACGATGTTCTGAATTGCAAAATGTTTATTTTCGATCAACGAATCGGGAGAAAACTGCTTTTGTTTTTTTTCAGGATTTTTGTCGTACCTATATAGCTTTGCGACTTATTTTCCTTTAAATAAGGCTTTAAGATATTGAAAGACACCAAATACGCCTGAATTTGGGTCGTGTACACCACACTGATCAGAGACTTCCGGTCTGGTTACAAAAGTGCGGGATCCCGAAGTCGACGTTTGATCGGTTGTCATTCTGCACCCCGTGAGGCTTGTTAATTGCGTCGGATTGTCCAGACGTCGTCTGCTGCAGTTTGAGGCTGTGTGGATAGTTTCAACGATTGAATTCGTAAAAATTGCGATTAGTTCAGCGTCTTCACACAGATGGTTTTCAAAAGTTCTGCAAAAGGCCTCGTACCTTAGACTCGAAAGTTGATCAAACAATTTTGTATAACGCTGTGGGAGTATACAAGAATATGGTATTGTGTATTTATTGAAAAAAAAAACAGCAAATTACAAAAGAAAACACTCAACTGTTCATATTAACACAGGCCTCTAGGGTCTACTATTCTTGTCATCGACTAACGTATACGTTAAAATACGGACATTGTTACAAATAGTTTCACATGACTATATTATACAATATATTAGATTCTGCACATTGTTAATCGACGTTGTCATATACCAAAGATGTTAAATGTACCCTTAGGAAATAAATTAAAGGATTTAAGTCTGGTAAACTAGGAGGCTCCGGTTGGTTAAATTGCACTTCGGTTTATCCATCTATTTTGATACACTTTAATCGGGTATTCTTGAGTTAATAGATGGAAATGATAGTTTTACATAATGCATGAACCATAAAACTGTAATGCTTACAATCCCTATAAAGCTGATAGTATTTCAAAAATTTTGAAACTGTTTAGTGACAAATTAAATGAAGCACCTATTTTTCAAGTACTTGTTTTCGATTGATCTTCTACTTCATTAAGTACCTCATCTTTCAAATGAGGTGTTATGAATTTTAGGTCTTCCAATATCAGCATGTCGCTTACAAGCAGTAGATACATTTCACAAAAGTTCCATTTTCTTGTAGCTGCTGATATATGATGCTGATGTTCCGAGAATGTTTCTGTACAAGATACAATTTGTTCAGAATATATTCGGCATGATTCGGCTATATTACCGTCAGTAAGGCGGTAAATAAAATAAATATCTGAATTTGCACGTTGAGGGACTAAAAAATTATCAATTTATAAAAAAGGAATGACTATAGTTTATCAGACAGCAAACAGTGACGTTGATCTAAGATGCCAAAGTAAATATGATTCTTAACGTTCAGAGTTTTTTTCTTTATTAAACATAAAAATGTACTACAACTTATTTGTAGATGTTCTTTCAATTCTAATATGTTAAAAAATGTTTCTAGAAGAATTTTTGAGTCAAAATGTTGGGTTTCTTTAATGAAACCATTTGCATTGAAAAAAAAAGAAATCAATAGTTCACCATATTTTTCTCAAAAAGTGCACACATATATTTAATTACGCTTATATCTGTTTAAAATGTTATTTAAAATATGAGCAATTAAATTTTCCAGAACTACTGTAGTGTAGTAAATTTTCTTGAAATTATCTCCTCCAGTTTGTGCCATTTTCACAGAAAGCATTTTTTATTAATTTAAACTGTGGGAACTTTTTTTCCTTCATTAATGGAACCTACTTAAGAGCTATCCTGTATAAATAAAACATTTTGCGTCCCTGAAGAGAAGCAAAGATGGATGTTTGTCGTAATATTAGTTTTATTTTTGGATATCGTTAAGATGATGGCATATCTTGTTTCCTTAGATGTTAATAATAAAATTAATGTGTCCGGGTGTAAATCAAATCCGAAATAATTTAAATACGTTTATTTGTTCACAAATATTATATAATAAAAAGTTATAAAATGTAAATATATGAAACTAGGTATAAAATACTTTAATAAAATCAATAATACAATAAAAAAGAGAAGATAAAATCTGATATAACTATACATAACGTCAACTGTGTATAAAAAACATTGTCTATGGCGGTATATAAACAAAAAGTTTATATGAAAATATATAGTAATATATATGTCTGTTTTAGTACGTATATTGTGGACTATAGAGTAGGTATCTGTCTTTGAGAGAACACAGTAAACAAAATAATAAATTGGCAGTTATAACCAACATAGCAAGCGAACATACTAAACAATTGAATGAGATCCAAAAAGAATATAAAAATCCCTATACCATGGCAAATCTGACATAAATAAAAAGAATAAGAACATTTACAAAATTCGACAGATTCAAATACTGATTATATTACAATGTTAGTGAAAATGTTTTAGTACAGTCAGAATATTTGATTCAAACTATAAACCGATAAATAAACATTTTTTTGTGTGATATCTCTGTCAGAACACAGTTCTATTTAGTAGTGGTATCACATTTATACGATACATTCGGAATGAATAATTTTCGATGTTTTTAACATTCGTGTTAGTTAAACTGTACTACATCAAGTAACTATGCAATTTTTTCAAAATTGCTAAAACGTACATAAATATTTATAAAATAAACAACAACGCTAAGATGGTAAAATTACAAAATGATTAACAAGATTAGCAAGGAGATTTTTTAAAAATCACTTGCTTTTGTACCCACATTGTAACTCTTAACTAACAATAATTAAACTATGTTTCAATATACAAGATAACATTTTTATTAATACTTTTTTACAAAGTGAGTATTTTAAGGTAAGAAAGGTCATGCTAATGCCTTGTTGTATGGTAAACTGTAGTTTTACTATATGAACTATTATAAAGCAACTAACAAAAAAAAAACTAGGTATAAGCAACTAAAAGAATAGACAAGGTGTATCTAAAAACTAAATCTACAACCTACTATACATATAAAAAATGTGTTTGATACTTTAAATAAATTAATTGTCATTTCCAAGTGTCTTTGCTAAGTTCGTCAATATTTTTAAACACACCTTGTACTTAGAAACAGGGCAGAATAATACTTTTAACATTAGGAAGTATGCTTAATATTAAGTGGAAATTATCTAAATCCACCCTGTATATAACAATGCGTAACTAAATTTACTTTATCGTAGTTAATGATAAATAAATAAGTATCTAAATTTTAACAGTAAATAATAATAATACAGAAATGGCAAGAAAAATTTTAGGCAGATTTTACTTACTTACATCGTTTTTTGAATACAATTTCACATTCAAAAATCACAGCACATAATTATACAAAAAAAAATAACAAAACAAATTATGATTAGGAACAAAATTGCCACGTTTCTTTCATGACAATTATAACGCGTGAAAACTGAGTATTAAATTTCGTTGTTTTAGTTTTAAACCGCAGTAGTAAAATTTGGTTCGAGTACCTACACGGAATGTTAACGACGAATGGAAATCAATAAATAATAAAATAACAATTTGTTACTGAAATGTCGTTAATAATTTTGCATTTAGAGATACCATTAAAGTTAAACAGAACCTAGTTAGTTAGTAAACGTAGTACCTACCTAAAGTTAGACATAGACAATACTTCATATTGTATTGAATCATTTTGTGAAAATAAATTTTAGAGACATATCTCGAAATAATATTAGGCATTTTAAATGTACATTTTGTTTCTAATGAAAATTTTGAGTCTGTCTCAGTATGAAAAATATACATTAACATTTTTTCTATGGAATATGGTGCATTATATATTTTGTCATATTTCAGTGCATTTTTTTTAGGATTACAATGATATTTTGACATTGATTGATGAGTGTATCCAATAGTAAAAAAGATATAGGTACTTAAAGAGAGTGTAGTATACTTTATGACTATTCTTGAATACCGATATATTAGAACAATTTGTTTCATAAGTAAATGACACATGTTCTCTATCCCTAGAATGTGTTGCCCGATTGTTTTATTTCTCTTTTTTTTATTAAAATTCCTTATTATAAGTTAGTTCATACACGTTTTACATTTTCGATATCCTTAAAGACAACAAAGTGATTAAATCAACCTCTATATTTTGATACGTAACCTTCATAAATGTTTACAAATTTCGATTAAATTAAAAATTATTGAAATAGTGAGATTAAGGTTAAAACACAACATTATGTTTCACTGGCAGCGATTGATGTAATTTTTTACGAGATACTATTCAACCAATCAGCGATCGCATTATCTCGAGCGTAGACGTAACGATTTGTCATTGGTTATTGTAAACGAGTCATTAATATTGGATCTATGGATTTATAATCTTTCCGATATCAATTGAAGAACCAAGAGTATGACAGTATGTACAAGGTTCGGTCGCTGATGCAGCAACTCGGCATTGAAATATTTGAAAAACTTGTTCCCATATTTATTTAGCTATACCCATATACAGGTCTGATAGAACTAAACGTGTAGGTGGTAGAAATGTATACGCCCAGTTGAAAAATGCGAGCGCGGGCAAACGAAATACAAATACAGTTGCATTGGGCCACTGGGCAATAAATCTCAGTCGTTGACATGTGGTCGACAAATTGCCCAGCAGTACAGTGCAGCAATGCGTAATTTGGTGTGATTCAGGTAATTTTAATTTGTTATAAGCACCTTCTATTAATCATTGATATTACAATTGCGAAAGGGAGAAATAATATTATTACAAAATTTTGCAATTTGTTTTCAATATTAAATTTTCAGTGTCAGATCATACATGTCCTAATATCCTGTCCTAATGGTGCCACTCTAACACTTAAAAATCATTTTTAATCGTCTAAATTTTAATAGCTGAGGCAAATCTGTTTAGCAGAATTGTCATGTTAATTAAAACGCATTTATGTATAATTAAAAGAATTCAAAATTTGCATTTAAAACTACTTCCCAAAATGCTGATAATTACACTGGTAAATTACAACTGCATTAGTGTAAACTCGTGGCATGATTCTAGTGTCAGTAATTGAATATAATAATAAAATATTTGAAATTTAATCGTCTAAGTATCACATCTGATAGATAAATTACATTTTCACATTAATTATCAATAAATGCAAAACATTACCGACAAACATAAAAGAACAACATTCCGTCAATTTACGTTTTAAAAAGCTACCTAGATTTTGCTTTCGCAGCTGTGACAGTACCAGCCGCTGTAGCGTTTTTCTGAGCAATATGCGTCTGGTAATGCTTAGCCAAATGCGCCTTCTGCCTGAAACTTTTCCCGCACAAACTGCAAGCAAACGGTTTTTCGCCTGTGTGGGTACGAATGTGGACGTTTACGGAGTACTTATCCTTGAAACCCTTAGAACAAATACTGCAGTAGTGTAACGACCTCTCCTTCCTTACACCATTACTCGTTGACGTGGCATTTTGCACCGTTGTTTGAGACTTGTTGCCACTATTTTGCCGTTTGTACTTTTTCGTGGGTTTCGTACTGGTTACCACTGGTGTTGTTATTTGTATCGGTGAACTAAGATTGTATAATATGCCTATTTGGTCGGAGCTAATGGGGCTAATACTATTGACGGTATTTTCTGCAGATGTGTCTATCTGACAATACTGATTTACAGACTCGGCCACCTCGTTCGCTATACGTTTCAGTTTCTCGAAGTCCTCTGGGAAAGAGTGGTCCAGCTGACTCAGTAAGAGGTCATCTACGTTATGCGTACTCGAGGGGTTTTCGGCATCGGCTACGTTTCTGGAAGCGACGTGTTCCTCGAAAACTACCTTGCCGTTAGCGTCTATACCGGCTACAATGGTTGGGATATTGTCTTGTTGCTCCTCTTTCATGTAAATCGTATCTGTTTTGGGAGGTGGCGCCGAGAGAACCCTTCTTAGCTCCGTATTGTTTTCAGCCTTGGTCGTCTTAATATTCCCGTTGTAACGCACAAAAGGTTTCCCTTGTAAAGCGCTGCGTAATAATGAGTCTGGTGATCCGCTACTTGTGTTGTTGTTGTTCGACAGCTTCCAGTCGTTATTGTTGTTGTTGAAGTTGTCGTGCGCCTCGAGCATCGGCGTGTCTATAATCAGAGAGTTTGTTAGCTCGTCCTTATTGTCTGCGAATCCACTATCCTCGTAGGTATAGGTTTCCGATTTTATCAGCCCGTCAGTGTTGGGACTCATAGTACTTTCGTTGTAATTATTGTTATAGTTGTTCATTTGACTGGGCATTATATTTAAAATTGAGTCTATATCTAAGCCTGCTTGAAGATGTTCCATCGAGTTCGGACTTGATATGGACTCCTCTTCCTTGGGTGGTCGGTACCAAGTGGCACTTTGATCGATACCGTTTAATACTGTCAGTGTGTAGATTTGTCCATCCGTAGTACTGTTGTTGTTATTATTATTGTTGTTTTTGCCAGGGCTCAGTTGAACCACGCCATTGGTGTCCTCGGTATTCCAACAATATTTATTTAAGTCTTCTAAAATGGCAGTTTCTATCCTAACTGTTTCTTTGTCGCTCCAGAAGTTAGCGTCAAAGTTGGCCACACCTTCCGAGGTAGTCGTGGGTATGTCGGATACGATCATGTTGTTGTTGGTCTCCTTGGTCTCCTCTGCGCTGTTTCCTAGGAAAGCGTTGACTGTCCGCATCTGCTTCGTGAACTGTTGGATGGAATGAGTGTCGTTTGAATCCGGCGTCACAACAAAATCGAAAAAGTCTGTTTTTACTATATCTTCACTGCGGAAACTTTCTGTTACGTCCATTATCACAGATTCTCGGGGATTCATTAATTTGCTAATATGAGTACTCTATGTTCATTTTCTTTCTCTCTTCTGGGTTTGAGAGCGAAAATCTGCAACAAAAGAAAAGAAGTGTCAGAAGTGTTTGTTCTATGAATATATAAATATTTGTATCATACGAGAGCTGATCGATAAATTGACTTATATCTTCAATGATGGATTAATTCTTGAATTTGTTTAATATTTCATATCGACTGAAATTTATTTGAGAAAATTGGTCGATTTATTTATCAACCCACGTGCCTGTTATATTGTATTTTCTTATTATATCAGTTCGTTGATTTGCATGGGCGAAATTATATTTTTTAAATAATAAACAAGGCTATAAATTATTTAAATTATCATAAATACAGATGGAGGAAGTTAGTACCTTTTTAGACTGTGACACTTATATCGGTATTTTTATAGTGCTTCGAGATACACATTTATATGCATAATTGTACCTGCATAATTTGGGTCATATTAATTAAATAAAAAGAGTCATATTAGTAAGTAACAATAAATAAACCCAGTAATTTTTAAGCATTTCCAATTAAATGATGGCATATTTTCATAAAATATGGATGAAAATGAAATTGATGTATGTATCCTTATTTAATCGATGTTATTTACCGCAACTTCTACATATGAATTTCATGTTTCAATTAGAATATTACAACGTCGTTAGTATACAGTTTAAATTCAGCAAATTGTGATTCTTGACTTATTTCATCTAAGTCTCTCTAAAAAGAAAGTTTAATTTTACCATTCCACCTCATTTTAAACTAAGAAAATTTGCATTCATTAAAAACTAGTTTCTGTTAACCAATTTTCAGCTACAGCTGAGTGGCTACTATAAGTTAGAATAGAATAGAATAGAATATTTATTGGTCTACATACATAACATATTATGGTAGCAAGTCAAAAAAACACACAATCATAAAAACAACAATTTAAGAAAATACAAACAAAGCACTAGACTAATTAAAATACACATTGACCTAACAATAAAAATTACTTTGCAACATAATAAACCTCAGAGTAAAAGCAACCACTAAAAGTCATGAACACTATCCATAAAGTCACTAACGGAACAAAAACATTTTGACAACAAATAATTCTTTATACGTAATTTAAATTTGACAAAACATAATGATTTTACATGTGATGGGAGGACGTTGTACATGTTTAAATTTAAAGAATTTCTCGCAGTCAGTGCTAAGCGATATCGAGGTAGCCGCAAAAATTTAGAAGTACGAGTACAGTAGTTATGTATATCCGATTGAACCGTGTAACTGGCAATATTCTTATGAACATCCAATAAACAGTAATAAACAAATAGCGATGGCAAGGGCACATTTCGACACAGTTGCAATAGTTCACAATTGTCTATATTTTATGAAAATACTTGTCTCTTCTGAAGGAGAATCAGTTCCTAAATAAGTTGAGACTGTGAGTAAAAGAGTAAAATTATCAGGATGCATAAATCACAAAATGTAAAGGCAAATAATTTGAAACATTAATTGTACGATATTTTAAGTTAACAATTATTTTATAAAATACACAAATTAGTTGAATCAAGAGATAGTGTGATCCTAGATTAGTGTGATCGTGTTCTGAGTCAGTAACAAAAATAATCAATAACGCAATCATTAAGTTTTAATTTATCTGTTGAAGTGATGGATTACGTGTAATCATATAAATGCAGTTTTCAGCTTAAATAATTTTAAAGCCATAATGACGCCTCGCAGTGTTGGTCATTTTTAATAATATTAGACTCCATAATCACACTCATTTATTATTTTTCACTGTCTACATGGTAATAATTAAGTGATGCCATGACAACATCCGAAGAAAAAAAATATCCTTGAAAATCAATTTGTTTGCTTCCTTTCAGGATACATTATAAATATTGACACCGTAGTGTAACGCATTAACTTCTCACCACCATGACACCTATCTGAGAAGCAACAGATTATAAATTTGCTGACAATCATACTTTCTCATATCCTGATAGGTAATTTTCTCAGATAATTTGATTATCTATCCTTCCTCAAGATGTTGTTTTTTGTACAATATATTTGCGATCATATCTAAGTTGTTTAATTGGTGTATATAAATTAAAAATACTCATTTTAGGTCATCAAGGATATATTCTTAACGAATACATCTCTAGACTTCTACAGTTTACGATACGATTGATTCGATGGTTAAAAACTTACAAATCCATAGAGGAACAATAGTCGTAATATGAGAAGGACCTTTTACTTAATTTTGATATTTTTATTTCATTTTGATAAGCTGAGTTTCAAATGTAGCGTCTGTTAAAAAAATAACCGAATTTTTTGAATTACGCGCCAATGGAGATATTTAGTGATATGCAGTTGGCAGCATTGCCTAACTTAATTTCTTCTGCAACCATATGTTCTTCTTTCTCTTCTGTTACCATATGTTCTTGGACTGTTGATATCTCATTTAGTTTTCGTGATATTGTTATTTGAGTGTTAAATGTTAGTAACGATTTTTGAATATGCGATACAACGGAAAATTTTGGGTGAAACTTGGGAAAACTTTCACTTTCAACTTTTTCAACAAGCTTACGGATATGAAGCTCTGTGTTACGAACGGTTTTCACGATTTAAAAGTGGTCGTCAGTCAACTGAAGATGATCCTCGACCAGGAAAACCTTCGACTTCAACTGATGTCTCCCACTTTAAAAAGTCAAAAATCTAGTGCATGCAAATTGCCGATTGACTGTAAGAGAAATTGCAGAAGAGGTTGGCATCTGAATTGGACCATATCATGAAGTATTGACAGAAAATATTCCTAAAAACACAGAAATGTCTCAGTATGACCTTAGATAATATGTCTATAAATAAATATAAGTTATTTATTACTAATATTTTTATTTGTTTCTCTATACTTAGCAAGGGTATATGGCATACATAAGAAAAATCTCGAGAAAAATCTCAAGCTGTTTCTTCTAGTTTCAAGTTTGTTATAAATATTATCTATATGCAGTGCTGTGTCTTGTTAATGCCTACATTTTGTCCGAAACTTTTGTCTTATTTGTTTACGTTCTTCCTGCCTTTGCTTATAGAAATATTTTCAGTATTTTTTTAATCGTCTTGTACAGAAATGTATGACTAACTATAATTACTTTAAAAGCTACACAGATTTGGTTCTGAAGGTGATTTAGTGTTACCTTTGCTATTAGGTATCCATCAAAAATTTTGTTACAAGTATTAAATCACTTTTATGGAACCCTAATTAATGATGTTATTTTTCCTTGAATCCATTTTTAATTGCCGTGAAAATATTGCAACAATGGCTATATTGAAGAGCTAAATAACAACCCAATTAACAGAACATTGGACCTGATTTCTTATGGCCAACTGTTCGTCTGTCTACAGTTTCTTATAAATGCAATTACTTTGGTTTTTAAGTCAAAAAGTAGCATATACAAGTATACCGAAGTTCTTAAAATTGAATAAAACATTTTAGACTTAACTGAAAAAAATACTGAAAATGTCCCCAACGTCATCTAGCGGCTAACTGAAGCAACTTCGAATCGAAGTAAGTTGCGTTAAAACGCCATATTTTTGGTTCTTCTAGGCATACGCCTGTTCTTTGCAAATTCATCTACGAATGACTGCATATCTGTATCTGTGTAAATTAGTTTTTATTAAGTATAAATATAATCATTTTCACTGTAATAAACAAGGAATTCCATGATAACTGATAAGTTCATTTTGAACAACAGAATTAATTAAATATTTTTCAATAAGTTAACTGCATGTTAATTTATATTTCTCATGATAAAATTCTTTGGTTAAGCGGATTTCTTCCTACGCTTTACCATATGAGCCCAATAATAATAAATTATGACACGCACCGTTCAGCAACCGTTAATAATAGCTGATAAATGTAATTATCACTAATGAAGAGAAGCTTGTTTCCAAAATGTGTTTTTAAATATTCAGTCTCTGGTCCACTTACAAGGTTTTTGTGCAGGTACTACGATTCGAATATGATTGAATTTATTTTAAAAATTAATATACTTTGACATAGTATATTCTTAGCTAATTTACTTTTACAATACTTTAAATAAATTCAGCAAATTCAAATTAGTTCTAGATATTTTCTTGAATAATTGAAACATATTATGAACTTTTAACCTTTCAGCAATAAGGATTTCGCGACAATTTATCAACTGAAGTAACAGCTGTTTGGTATCTTTAATAAATAACGGTTTCGAAGAAAATAATTATATCAGTGCCCAGTTCTTAGATTTACGTAAAACTTTTGACTGTCACATGAAATTTTAATGAAAAATATATTTTTATGTTCTTTCAAGCGGTAGCATATATCCACTATTTTCAGATTTAACCAAGAGATTTTAGTGTGCTATTTACGAAAATATAAAGTAAAATACATTGAAAGTAAGGTACGGTGTTCCGCAGAGTTCGATTTCAGAGTCCATTCCTCTTTTTAATTTATGTAAATAATCTAACATTTTGGTAGTGTCACTGCAACGAATTCAAATTTATCTTACATTTAATATTGCGATTCTTAGCAAATGACTGTTTTTTCATTAATAAAATAACTGTTAATATGTTCAAGACTAAAAAAATTATTTACTACCTACTTTATCTTCTCCGAAATTTGATAAAAACAGTTTCTTTATCGGTTCTAAAAACTTCGTATCTCAGATTGATTCATTCGATTATATCTTACGCTATTATAGTATGGAAATATGCAACACATGTGAAGCTACTGGATGAGAATTTAGAAAAATTGTTATAATTAATTAAGTTTAATATTTAAAGTAACAAGTAACGTAAAATTTTGACTTTTTATAGACAGCCATTTGGCTATATATCGAAAATCAAGAGATATAAGAAAATTGGGCAATTAGATTTGTGTACCAAGAAAATGATTTATGACAGTTTTTTACATGTACATTTCAAGGGTTCAGGCAGGTATAACAAATACAAAATTAATTCAAATTAAAATAAACGCGTACGTAGCGAGTAATAAAAATTCCATGCATTAAGATTCGTTCCACTT